CCCCAAAACCCCAAAACCCCAAAACCCCTTCTCATGTTTTATAAATTGATTTGTATAGCGAATAAAATTTAGTTAAAATAATCGAGTCGCTTTTTAAGACCTTTCTTCTTCGTGATTTCTGAGTAGGTTTTTGATATTTTATAATTGCTCACTCTGTTACGGCTAGGATTGTAGTGGCCAGGACCAGGAGATGACTCCTTACAGTCATTAAACCTACTAGCCTTGCCAAAAGTTACAGGGCTAGATGAGATGTTGGTGAAATCACTGTCTACTAGATGATTATAGAATTCTGTAATTCCCTTCCCAGTGATGGGTTTTTGTTTCCTTTTTATTTTAACTTCATTTGTCTCTCATCATAAGCTGATCTCAGCATCTTCATTATAAAGTCTGTGACCTGACATTCTAAGTTTGGATTGTCTGAGTCTCTTACTTTGAGAAGATTTCCTTGATTTAGCACGCTTCTTTTTCGAACCTCTGCTGGCACTTTGGATGGTTTTCCTTGGAGATCTAAAAGTAGAGTTAGAGGAGATAAAGGGTATTAATTACAATCTAAAAGTAGGTTCATCATATTGAACTAGTTCATCTTCATCATAATTCTAAAGATAAAGTGTGCAAATTACTCCTTTAATCTCCTCTCTAGCAAGAGAATTCTTTGTCTGAATTGATACAGGTTTGAAATCTTCAATAACCTTGCTCCGAGAGAACTGATCCTCAGTTGATTGATTTAAAGGGACTGAATCCTGGGTATTCTTTAAGATATTCTTATAAGCAACAGTGCTCTTTGATCTCTCGGCGAAACTAAGACTACTATCACATGTGTTTGTGAATTCCTTTCTTGTAAGAGTATCACCTTTAGCACAATTATTTGTGACACTATTGTATATATCAGTTATTATTAGCTGAACTATTTTTTCAAGGTTAACTTTGAATGAATAAAACTGGTCCTTCCAAATATTTTTATTGCTTGAGATTACTCCTTCTATAATATTTCCCATTAAACAATACCTAGTTTTAGAGTTTCCTATAAGAAAGTATTAGAATTTGTTTTTCAGCAGAGAAAATAAGTTGGCAATACTAAAAAGAATACTACCTTTTCAATCTCCATGATCTTTTCCAGACTATGATAGACAGGCATCAGATGTCCTCTGGTGTGTAGCTTTTGGATAAAATATGCTTCCATAGATTTGCTGGATGAAAACTCAGAAGATCTCTCAAATAAGCTTTGTGTTTGGGTATGGTCTATCTCCATTTTTAAAATTATTTCAATTTCCAACTGTCATTTAGGGGTTTTGGGGTTTTGGGGTTTTGGGGTTTTGGGG